AAGCATGCAATATATGTAAGCATTTATCACCTGCAAACAATATTTATATTATATTTATAAATTATGGTATTATATATAATCAATTAATTACAAAGATTGTGCAATTGGTCTTACACCGTCATGTAAGAACATGTCATTTTTTATAAGGCATTCCAAATCGTCTTTTGCTAACAAGGCATCTCCAATGTCCACAAACTGGGTATTCTTAAGGGCAAACTTGATTGATTCGATGACTATAATATCTCTAGGGGTACAAACATAGTCTATGAAATTCATAAAAAAGTGAGACAGCTTAGTAAACAATAAAAGCCAAAAGAGTTGAATACAAAAGACAATATCACAAAAAATCTTGATAATAATATAAAAAATACCTTGTGGGATAACATGTAAATTAGCATCCTTTTTTGGTTTATTATGAGATATAACCTCTTCGACGTGATTATGTTGTGAATTTCCGGCCCCTTGCAGCGACATTGCATCTGAACCCTTAATGGATTCTTTCCGTGAATCTCCAGAGTCAATATTCATGTATACTATATTCTGAAAAAACAAAAATATAGAAACACCATTCATTGTATCATATATAATATAGATACAGAGTAAGGTTAGCTATATGCACCTATTCTCACGGTGTTTCAGTGCGGTCTGTCATCGTTGCATCAGTGCGTATATCGGAACCCATCAATTTATATCTATGCTAAAATATATTTAATATTTTTTACTACATCATAAAACTATACATAATATATAATAAAACTGTATCTGAAACTAAAACAACTGTTTTATCTGATAATAATAAAAACATTTGGTTATATTAGAAACAAATGCTGCTTAAATCATTATACAAACAGAAAAATTCGGGGAAAACAAAAATCTATAATGTTCATATAAGTTAGTAGGCGTTTGAAATTTCTTGAACTATTTTAAATTAAATGATAGGCTATGGCAAATTGGCAAACAAAAACTAAAACAAACAACCCAACATTAACAAAGTTTATTTGTTTCATCTATCTTTTTTTTGTGATACCCTTAATATATGTAACAAGCATAAAAGTATTTTTTTATGAACCGCATTTATAACTTTGTTTACTTACAAATCAATACTTACAAGTATACCATGATGAAATATATATGATGAAATATAAATGATATTTCCTACTGCATCATATTATTATATGTAGTATATAATAAAAATAAACATGTAACACAACTCATTTGTATGCAAAAAAGAAAACCTATTTGATATTATTAGAAATATATGTTGTTTAAATAAATGTCATATGCCATGTTTCTAAAAAAATGTTCATAGTTTTCAAAAAATGTTCATGATATTTGAAAAATCTTTTTGATTTTTACATAAATGTTCTTGTTTTCAGAATATGTTTTAAAGAAAACTGATATATATTATAAAAAAATGTTAGGTATTTTCAAAATTTGTTCCTCAAATTCGAAAAAAGTATTTCCTTTTTAGAAATATTTTATGGATTTACCAATAAATGTTCTAACTTTTCAAAAATTGACCTGGATTTTCAAAAATAGTTATTGTTTATTGAAATTAGTTCTCAAATTTAATACAATGTTCATATCTTAAAATTTTGTTCATGTTTATGAAATATTATTGATTTTTTAAAAAAGGTTATGATTTTCAAAGTTTGTTCTCAATATTCAAAAAATGTTTGTGCTTGTAAAAAAATGTTCGCGCTTCCAAAATTGTTCAATTTTTCTAAAATGGATCTCATTTTCGAATGTATTTTAAGGATTCAAAAACAGTTCGTGGTCCCAATTCTGTTCAAATTCATCAAAATTTTCATTTGTTTAAAAGTTTCTTCTCAAAATCCATAATAATTTTTTTTGCAAAATTTGTTCACTTTTTCATATTTGCTATCTATTTCCAAAAACATTCATGTATTCAAAAGAGAAATAATGTGATGAAGCAGAAAAGAAATAAATGTAAATAAAAAAGAAAAATAATTTGGGCCGGCCCAGTTGGGACGAACCCTTTGCGACGTATAAAAATAATTAAAAAAAATCATCATAACACTAATAAAAACTATACCATGATGAAATATAAATGACGAAATATAAATGATATTTCCTACTGGATCATATAATTATATATAATATATAATAAGAATTTAAGTGAAAATAAGAAAACTTTTTGTATGAAAAAAAACCTAGCTTATATTATTATAAATATATGTTGTTTAAATAAATGTCATACCCCATGAAAATCCAGGAAAAACAACTAACTATAGTATTCTTATATAAGTAAGTAATTATCTGAAAATATTTAAATTATTTATTTAGTCTATGGAAATCTATGCAACAAAAAAAATAAAACATGCAAACAAACATTATTCAACCAAGTATATTTGTGTTTTCTATTATTTGCCCCCCACATTTTTTTGTTGTGATGCCCTTGGTTTATTTAATACGTATAAAAATGTATATTTTTATGCACCATGTATATTATTATACACTTTTATTGATTTTGTGAGGTATGTATAATTTTTATATCTATATGGACATTTTTTTTGGATCCACAAAATTACAGAGGGCCACGTGAAAGGCTGGGCCAGGCCCAGCCCGTGGCAACGCACAGGCGACGGCGCACCTCCCCCTTCCTTCGGCCCACATCCCCCGGGCGACGGCGCACCTACCCCGTCCGACGGCCCACCTCCCCCGCCTCCCACAAAACCTGTCACCACCTACCCTCCCGCAACCTTATCCCATTCACTCCTCACTCCACTCTCTTCAACTCCCCCTTTCCCCTCCGCCGCTGCATCGCTGCGCGTGTCCACGAGACGTCGGCCGCGCGCGTCCACGAGCCCCCGGTCGTGCTCCTCCGCTCGTTGTTGCCGCATCAGGCCCTCACCTATCCTCTCCACTCCCGCCAGTCGCCACATCTAGCCCGCTCACCTCCCCCTGCCGCATCGTCGCGCATGTCGCCTAGCCCGCAACGACCACGACTCCGCCAGCCGACCAGCACAGCAGTCTCCGGCGACCCGTGTGTGACCGCAGGTGACGCTCACATCGAGCAACATCGACCGGGCGCGGGTGCTGGATCTGGTCGCCGTTCGGAGAGCATGTACTAATCTCCGGCGAGTTCCTTGCGCAGACCGGAAGAGGGGTGCCTCGATCTGCCACACCAGAAGGTCAGGTACGCCGATCCGAACCCTGAGTTGGATTCGTTGACTGTTGGCTGCTTCTGTGGGTTCATTTTCTGATGGATGCAATTTTTCTTTGCGTTGCAGGCTTCGGCGTGATCGGCAGGCTTGTGGCCAGGGTTGCGCTCTAGAGATACGATGTCGATCTCGTCGCCGTGAACGACCCCTTCATCACCACCGACTACATGGTATCGTTCTCGAATCTCCTAGCTTATGAGATCTACGGGCACGTATGGTAGGGTCGTTTTGGATCCGTGCATGAGACACCCGTTTATATTCACTGGATCCGAACCTAAGTTGGATTGTTGACTGTTGGCTGCTTCCGTGGGTTCGTTTTCTGATGGATGCATGCACTGGCGGAGCCTTGTGGATGCAAAACGGGGTTGTGAACCCCCATTTCAAACTGCACTTGTGTTACTATACGTATATATGAGGTATATGTATTAAGTGTTTTACCCCAGCCATCGGTGGATGACTCCCATTCAATCCGATTAACTTGTGTAGTCCATACTCCATAATTCCATCTGTACAAAGCTATAGCTAGCTAGCACAAGCAGCTTGATTAATTGTTCGTACAAATTTAGGTAGCTAGTACAAGCAGCTTGATCGATATATGTACGAGTAGCTTCTTGCTTGTTACTTGTTGCATCTTTTGGCATCACTAAGATTTACCGACTACTTGCTACTGCATATGCATGGAATACGACGAGTCGGCAACCAACAATTGATGAGCCCTCCCCCCCTTAATTGCTTGTAACGCTCCGCCACTGGATGCATGTTTGCTTTGCCCTGCAGGTTTCGTCCGGATCGGCAGGCTTGTGGCCAGGGTTGCTCTCTAGAGCCCCGATGTCTGGCTCGTCACCGTCAACGACCCCTTCATCAGCAAAGACTACATGGTATTGTTCTACGGACACGTATGGTAGGGTCGTTTTGGACTCGTGCATGGGACACCAGTTTATATTCACTGGATTACGAGCTTAGATCTGTGCTAAACATGAATGGATTTGCTCTTCTAGTTACACGCTGATGCTTTGCTACACAATCATAAGCACAGTTAAATAGCGATGTATATGAATCTAGTGAATGTCGCTACATGTCTGTCTGTATCATCAGTTTTGGGAAACGACTTTTAGATCTGCTTTGCAAGTGCCTTATGCATACGTTATATTCCTCACTTCAGTGGAGAATAGTTAGGTAGTTCCAGATTTGAGGAATCTATTTGTTCCACGCAGTGACTATTGTTCCATTGTGGTATTTATAATAGATGTACACCTGGTAGTATTCTGTCATATCTTACTAAATAAGACACATGCAGGCTCCATGCCAATTAGTACTTAAATTAAGCATAGTGCAACTGATTCTCTCATATTATGGTTCTAAATTATGTGCTTGTAACTGGCAGACCTACATTTTCAAGTATGACACTGTCAACGGACAGTGGAAGCACCATTAAGTTAAGGTGAAGGACTCCAAGACCCTTCTCATCGATGAGAAGGAGGTTCCTGTGTTTAGCTACAGGTTTGTTACCGCTAATTTTTGTGGCCATGCAGTTGATTTCCAAAGTAAACGCCCTGATCATACAATGTCCTGATGTGGGAACCCTAAGGAGATCCCATGGGCTGCTGCTGGTGCTGAGTACGTTGTTGAGTACACCGGTGTTTTCACTGACAAGGACAAGGCTGCAGCTCACATATAGGTACATTCTTTCAAACTTTCCATTTCATGGTACCTGAATATTTATTGTGTATAATTTACTAAATTAGTTTTCTGTGTCACCACTTTCAGGGTGGTGCCAATAAGGTCATCATTTCTGCTCCCAGCAAGGATGCTCCCATGTTTGTCTGTGGTGTCAATGAGAAGGAATACAAATCTGACATTGACATTGTCTTCAACGCTAGCTGCACCACTAACTGCCTTGCTCCTCTTGCTAAGGTGCTTATCATTGAAGTTTTGTGCAGCTCAAACCAACCGCCAATATTGGGAATTGTATACTGATAATTTGTTTCTTTCAGGTTATCAGTGACAGGTTTGGCATCGTTGAGGGTTTGATGACAACAATTCATGCCATGACTGGTAATGCATTACACTGGGTTTTTTCTTCAACATTTTATATTATATATTTGACTATTGCATGCTTATGTGTGGCTGAAATTTAAATTTACAGCAACCCAGAAGACTGTTGAATGTCCTTCCAGCAAGGACTGGAGAGGTGTAAGGGCTTCCAGCTTCAACATCATTCCGAGCAGCACTGGTGCCGCAAAGGTATATTCAACTGGCCTTCTATTATATGATCAGTTAACTGATTGAACAATGTAGCTTGATGGATTATCTGATTCTTGTTGCCCGTAGCAACACATCATAAAGTTAACTTATTGAATTGTCACGGCTTGGATCTTATCGAATGTTTAAATCTACTATAAGAATATACAAGCTGATGTTTCTTGGTTTATTAGCATATGCATTTTCACATGGAGCTGCATTTTCACATTTTCTCAGGTTGCCAAATGTATTCAAGGAATTGTGAAATATAAATATAGTTTATTTTTGTTCTTTTGGAATTGTGATGTTTGGCCTCATGTTGCCAAAGATATTCAAGGAATTATGAAATAAAAAGTAATAATAAATTTCTTTCTTGGTCGTAACGAATGGACACCTTGCTATAGAACATACACATTTTTTATCTGGTTGTTTATGCATGTGTTAATTTTGTATTTTAGAAATAGTTTGATCATTCAACTTAATATGCAGGGTTTCACAAAGGTGAGCATATGAATTTTGTAGATTCATCAAATAAATAAAATATGAGAGATTGAAATATAGGAGTTGAGATTTAGGTATGCTGTTGGAGTTAAACAAGATACCAGGGAAAACCTTTCTAGGGGAATCCCCTATGCTTAGATTTAGGGGAGATAGTTTGGAGGAGTTGTAGTATATTAATGAGATTTCATTAAAAAGTTAGGCAGTCAACTATGGTCAGAATAGGCTGTTAGCCTATAATATCTGAAAGAAATGTTTGTAATCAGTTGTAGCCCACCTAATTGGACTGCTTTATTAGATATAAAATCAATTGTATTGCCTATGATAATTTTATAACCTGGCACTATCTACAATGGTGTCCTTTCTTTTCAATTTGATGGTATGCCTGACCAAGCATGATCCTAATCTAATAACTGTTAAACTTTTACAGAATAGATAGATCCAGAAATTTTCGTACCTAAAGGACGATGCCTTCTTGGTGCTCCTTGCTTACAGAAGGTACTCCTCCGGAATTTGTCCTCCAAATCTGGGTATTTTGATGCTTTTCTATATGTGATGGGCAAAGGGAAAGTAAGGAGGGGTGTGAGGGATGGCAGAGGAGTTTAACATATATAGGTAGGGCAAAAGGGGAAGGCTGGGAAGCAGATATCTTTCCAGTTCTACCATCTATAATTATGTATGGTGCAGATATCTTTCCTTTTTTCATCATACACATACCTCATAATAAATTAGAAAAGATGTCAGAAATCATAACTTACTAAAAACTAATTTGTTGTATTAATTAATTTGTCAGAAATCATAACTTACTATAATTATGCATGCCATATAAAAATGAAATATCTTATATGTATGTTTAAATATTGATTCTATTTTTTATTATTGTTCAGTTTGAAAAGGTAAACATGAACTTTCTATTTAACTTATGTGTATTTAATCAGTTCAACATGTAAAAAGTTAATTTATCAAACAAATAATCTTAAATGTTTTGTTTCTGAAATATGGCAATTAACAGCCATATGATTTTGTTGTATGCACAATCAAAACACAGATGCACCTAATGCATCATCGATCATTTGCAAGGGAGCGTGGGTCAGAAGGGGACGTGGAACTGCTGCAGCCTATCTGAGACAACGCAAACTCCAGCAAATTTGGCCAGCCAGGTACATCATCTAAACGACAATACGGTAGCAACTTGAACAAAATTTGAATTGATTAGTATAGTAGCTTAGTAGTAGTAGCTTCCTGTACTAATATTTATGTCGACCAATCACTGCACCGGATATGCACTCCTGGGATTATATATGTATGGGGGCCTGTGATATTGTGAAGGGTCTTACATTTGTTAGGCTTGATGATATTTGCACAAACTGTGTAAGACAAACAAACCCTCCTCCCCTCCTTTGCAGCAAGATCCGCATCCTCCTCCTTTCTAGTAGCTAATCCTCCTCCTCTCCAATACAGCAGCAACTGAAAACAGGCAACTGCAAGGAGCCAACACCTTTCACTCCCCCTTCTACCACACCATAATCTGCTATTGATGCTTTGCTGGTGGCTCACTGCTTTGTGCTAGATGCTTTGCTGTATCGCAATAGAAAATTCACGGCGTCCACACTAACATATCTACTATTAAAGTGGTTTTGTTTCTTTTACTGTATGTACTGATCAATAAGCTAGGATATCCATCTCTCATTTTTGTTACTATATTCAGGATCACACAAAATATAAGCAGCGTCTATTAGAGTCCTGGAATATAATGCAACGGCAAGAAAGGAAGATCAAGGACAACTTAAAAAATAAAGAATATATGCAAGGTAGGTGCCATATGAACGTCATATGTTTATTGAGTATTCTCTAGTTGGAATGTGATTATTACCGATGAAGAAAACCTCGTATAGTATAACAGTGCGTGTATGGATGGAGTTATACTATACGAGGTAGTATATGATGCGAGGCAGGCAATGTCTGAAAACATCTCCTATTCTACTTTGAGTATGTTGTGAACCTGCCATGGTACAACACAAAAGTACTCCATTTCAACTGGAGCACCATGTATGGTCCAAACTGGTCTGGTCTAGAACCGTAAAATTTAGATAGAAAGTCTAGGCGAATAAACAACCAACATAGCTAGTGGATGCCACCATAAATCACTCTTGAAACTATATAAATATTTCAGATAATTTCATCTGATCATCGGATCAGCACGGGCATTCAAACAGATTATTACGCCATCTATATAGCCAACTACAACAGTCAACAAATATAACAGCAAAACCATCTTGTAGTAGTACCAAAACTACAATTAGTTCTTAAATATTCTAAACCCAATTTTTTTGTAGTTTTCCATCCATAACCAAACATGACAAGCTGATTGAAGTAATCCTGATGGTTCTGCATGCATAGAAGCATATTTAGTTGTTCAAAACCCTCAAGGCCGCCGTAATCTCCTGAGGGATGTTTCCAGCAGCTAGATTGTCTTTCACCATAAGCATCTGGACTACCACTTGGCTCCTCAGCATAATTGGATCCTAGAATCAATGAAACAAATTCACCATCAAACGCTGAAGTGGTTGGATTATAAATGGCACATTAAAACTCGTCGTAAAGATAATTACTGTAGTGTTCATCCAGGTCATGCTACGCAAAGAACCTAGCTGTTGGGCCATCTCTTGTAGAACTAAGAAACTCAAGTCTTTGCTGTGACAAACAGAATAAAAACTTGAGATTTCTACATACTGCATCTTATTCATCTGAAAAATTTATTAAATTACCGCCGAAAATTGAAAGACATGTTGTCTTATCGCCAATCCATGGGCTCGGTGTTCCATCCAATGACCCTAGCCTGCAACACTTCATTGAGTTCTTGCTTCAAAATAGTGATCTCCTTCATCATCTCTTTGTTGTGAGTGCTATTTCCCACTTGTCGTACGTCTAGTGATGTATTATATACGATAACCCTTTTCCTCATCCGATTTACCACAAGTAGACCATACGAGGAGTCCGGGATAGACAACGGAAGTAGATACTACAGAAGGTCAACACAGGTTAAATGATATCAGGAAAGGAAAATTAAATTAGGAATAAAAAAGTCTTACAATTGTGGAGTTGAACACATCATATCTAGGAAAGGGCTGTAGAACAGCATTGTTGATCAGCGTCGAGGTGCGCTGCCCTTGCGGCATCCAGGAATACCTTAGAGCTCGTGATTGAGCATGAAACTGCAAGTCAAAATAATGTTTTCCTCCAACCATGTTGGTGCCCGCATGCCTCTCTAGTTCAGCGCTCGCAAGCTTACGAACAGCGAGATTGAAGCATTCGGGATGTAGGCTTGCTGAAGTATGAAATAGTGTGTCCTTCAGCTTTCTGAGGCTGATTTTGATCCGGTACGGTGTATCGATTCTTATCCAGATTGAGTTGCACGTAAAAACACATAAAAATGGTTCATATGGTAACATTTTCTAGATAATCTAACAGTTATGAGCAGAACGTAATATTTTGATAAACTATAGAGCATGAAAAATTTTGGAGCACCTTCTAGCAAAAGCTAAAATTCAATAAAAATTTCTCTGTAAGAAAAAAATTAATTTGTTAGAAATTAAGAGGAAAATTTAGGTAACACCCATTATACCAAGTTTGCTGGCTGTTCAAAAACAATATTAAATTGTTGTACAATATAGTAAGGACATTAAGATTTTCAACATTTTTACTGCAAATAATTTTAGCAGATTGTTATTCATTACACACGGTTGATGTGCAACGGAAATACTGCCAAATCATTTTCCATAAAAAAATTTCTACTGATGCACTCAAAAAGTAAGATTTAATCTAAAGAAAAACAAATCAAGTAATATCATACACCTATATTCAACAGAGTATGTTGTGTATGACCTAGTTATAATGAGATTTATTTCGATAAAATAAACTTACAATACCATAACTTACTCTAGTGTCTGCTCATCGTGAACGCCGTTCATAAAGCCGAATATATATTCGAGTGCATCTTCCACAAAATGCCTTGGTGGGGGCAGAAGATGCAGGGGCACGGGCAAATCCTCCTGGGTGTCGACCACAGCATCGTGGAGCTGGAGGGCAGCCTCATTGGGGTCGGGGGCAGCGGTATCCAGGGGCCTGGGCACAGAAACGCCCTGGTAAGTGCGCGCTGCCACAACCTGGATCGCCGGCGCATTGTTTCCAATGATGGGCTCCATCGCTGATTGATACGCGTGAGTGATCGTTCACCGAGGTGTCTTGGCAATTAGGATGTGGATGCAGCAAAAATATAAATAGATATATTTTTAATTGTTGTGATGGCCGAAGGAAGAGCAAGGAGAGGGAGGACGGATGGCAGAGGAGAATAACATATATAGGTAGGCCACGCGGGGAATAACTGGGTAGCAAATCATGGCTGAATATAGTTCTACCATATATACCATTGTTTTCCACCATATATACCATTGTATTCTACCATATATACCATTGTGGATCGTGCAGATCTATTTCCTTTTTCCATCAAATGCACACCTGTTAAAAAATAGAAAATATGTAAAAAAAATCATAAGTTAGTAAAAAGAATATAGTTCTACCATATATACTAGTATGAATTAAATAAAAATCTTTTCATTGCTTGCATGCCAAGTTTAGCTACAGCAAAGTTAAATTCACGGCAATTAGGATCTCGATGCAGCATATATATAAACGTACTATACTTGGAATACAACTTACATTCACTGCTATAAATCAGCATTTGGTGTGAGCCTAAGACAACAAACA